CTTGAACCTCTCCCTCCACACACACAACCACCTTCTTCTTCAGACTTGCCCTCCATCTCTACCCTCCAGCCCTGCCACCTAGTTTCTGAGAGTTCCCCCTACTCACCCCTCTTTCTTCAGCAATGCACCAAACTCCTGCTTGCACCCCTTCTGCCACAGCAGAACTGACAGACTGGGTTTTTAAAGATGTCAGAAGGTGCCCTAGGAAGCTGTCTGCTCCACCCAGCAGTGACTTAGGCACTGAGCCTTGGGACTGCAAACCCCAGGCTATAACCCCTTCCACTCACCATGCTGTGTCACCAACCTAGGAAGCCACCCCCAAGTTTGCTCACCAAGGGCACACCTTCCCCTGAAGGACACACCTACAACCCTACTCACTGGGATCAACTACCATCCCAGCTTCCTCGGCCAGGATTACAAATGGGCACCATCCCAACCTGACCCTGCTCCCCACAAAGAAAAAACCTTTTCTGGGTCACATTCTTCTGCCTCAAAATGAACTGCTTTGTGATATCAAGAGAAGTATATTGAAAGAGTGGAAAGTACCCTGGATTTAGAGTTTTGGAAGACTGAGGTTCAAATTCCAGTTCAGACATTTACTGTAAAATGGGGGTAGTAAAAATGTCTATGCTATTTACCTCTAAGAGTTGTGAAGAAAGTGCTTTGTAAATTGTAAGGTACTATAAAATGAGACCTATTATTATTATTATATCTGTGCTTCTCCCAACCCAGCCCTGACCCCTCCCCATTAGGCATCTTGCCCCACCCCTCATCACCTGAACACCAACCCTCGGATCTCAAAGATCTCAGCCTCACACCCTAAGCTCCCATCCCCGCTCCTCTTACCACATTCTCCCTAAACTCCACCAACCACTGTTTTCACTGCATACGCCCTAACACGCAATCTTCTCTCACCTTCATTCATTGACTCCTCTAAAGAGGGAACTCTCAGGTATTAACAGTGCTTCTCTGTCCCTGTAACAGCCCTCCCATGGCTACCTTCACACTGAGGCCAGCAAGAATGGTTACAGGGGCCGGGTTCCCCCTCCACCAGAGGGTAGGAGTTGAGACCCTTTGTAATATGCTCAGATTGTCAATCAGCAATCCTCCACCCATCCTCATCCTCATTCCCATCCCTATCCCCTTCATCCCCATCCCCAACTCCAATCCCATCTTATTGGGCCCGTAGGTGAGGATGGAGGAAGGCAGGAAGCCTACCTTGGCTGGTCTCCCACACCCAGTCCTGTCGTGAACTCCACCGCCTTATTGAAACTTACACCCCAGTTTTCCCACCCTCACCTCCAGATGTGATTCCAAGCATGCGCAGCTGCACCAGAGTCCCCAGGGCATCCTCTCCTGTGAAAGGCTCTGGGACACTCCTGCCCCCTGGTGACTTCCCAACATCACAGCTTCCCAGCTGGTGTCTTTGAACACAATGGCTGATCAGGGGTACAGACCTGCACTTCAACATTGCCTCCCCATCCCCATATTTAAGGCATAAACTAGTAACAAATCTTCCAAACTGTGGGACAACAGGATTCATTAATGAGTAAGTGACCTCAGACCTTGCTCTAAACAACATACAAGTCAATGGGGCCAGCTGAACAGACAAATCACGAGCCTAGGTCAGCTTAAAGAGGCCAGGTCACATGAACTCATCCAAAAGAGAAAATTGTTGGCAAGGGTGACTGGCGTGGAGTCCAAGAGAGAGTAAGGTATGAACTCTCTACTGGTGCAGCAAAGTTGAATGGACCTACATTGGCCATACCAGGAAGAGTCCTTTGAATCTTCTGTGAGTTCCAAGGACATGGTGATTCATTGCTTGAGCCTTTAGAGGACAATGAATTATCTGGTTACTTCTAATATGTGGTGGTCCAGTAGGAAAAAAGGCTTGGCATTTTAGAATGAGTTATATATAACTAGCTATTCACATGACGCCTCCCCCATTAGAATGTTTTGAACAAATAAACCATTTTGACTATTATAAATACCCAAATTAACTACAAAAAACATATGAAGGAAGATGCTATCTGCAAAGAGCTGATAAATAGAAGTATAGAATGATTTTACATATATATACATGTTTGTGTCTAATGGTAGCCATGGGGGGGTGGGGGGGTTGGATAGGGAAGAAAAAGAAAGAAATTTATGTGATTACATATACGGAAGAGGAATGGAGTTTCATGTGCAATCATTTTTTTTTTAATTACACTACCTTACGGAAACGCTTGTTTTATTCCATAAATTAAAAATAAAATAAATTAACATCTTTTTAAAAGAATGTAAGCTTCCTGAGGGCAAGGACTACATTTTTGCTTTTTTTGTGTCCCCAGTGCTTAGCAGAGTGCCTGGCTCATAATAACCTAGCACAAGCCAGCATCTCCTAGGAAAACTTGTGCTGAGGAGGGGGCTGCCTCCAGTTTTTGTCTTCTTTTCTCTGGTACATGACTTTGTGAGATCGCTTGAGGCAGCTGGCATCTTTCTCTTCCCAGGCATATAAGCATCAGGGTAGGGGCTACTGGGAAAGTTGTGGTGGCCACAGAAGCAGACAGGCCTACAGAGAAAGAAAGAGGGAACAGCAGAAAGAAGGATCCCCGGGATTGACTACATGCAATAGAAATGAGAAATTATTGTCTGATACCATGACTGAAACTCTTGCGGGGGAGAGGGGTGGATGCATTTGATACAGAAGCAAATTTTGTTCCAGCCTCTCATTATGATTTTGTTTCTTATAAGCAAGACATGGTGAGGTTTTGTTTTCTTACCCTTTGTCACTCTCTTTGATTTCATTGGATTATTTAATATATTCACATTGAAAATTGTGAGAATTAAGTTTATGTTTTTCTCCATTTGGGAATCTAATTTTATTGGAATTTTTTTTTATTCTCCTGTCTCTTTTGGGTCAGTACATTATCCTTTTGATTAATTTTGCTTAATCTGCTTTGATGCAACCCTATTCCACAAACTCTCTTTGACCCTATCTTCATCCTCAATTGTCAATTCTTTCCCAAGTTTTGGAGTTTTATCTATCTTTTTCTTTTTCCTTTTATGTAATTATTCTTTCCCTCTTTTTTTCCTTTCTTTTCTCATCTTAGTTAAGTGGTTAGTTCAAAATCATCCTCCTCTCTACTCCAACTTTTTGTTTGCTAGGTTTTTTTTTCTTTTCCTATGCCTTTTCTAAGGAGGACTTCTTCTTTTCATTCACTTCCCCTTCTGTCTGTTCTGAGCTTTTATTTTTTGATTCATGTTCTATATCTTTTCTTATTCCTTTTTTGGTCTCTTTGTGCCTCAAATGGAGGTAAAGCTTCTAAAGTACTAAGTTTGGGTTCCTTCTTTTAATCAATTTTAGTTTTATTACCTTTGTAGATCTACAAAAAAACTGCTTGCAAACAATCCTATGATATTAACCTTGCAACTGAATGTTCTAACATGGATAAGTTAGCGGATTCTGTTCTAATTATTCTATGGCTCTTTATTGTTTGGCAATTTCTTTTTCTATGTAGGAATAAAACTCCCTGTTCCATGAACCTGATTTACATAGGTGCTCTGGGTAACATTTTTATTTTCTTCTATTTCGGGTACTATAAAAATATGAGGCACTCATCCTGTTATTGGTAGTGTTCTGGATAATTAAGCAGAAGTTAGAAACCCTGGAGGGAGGTGGGGAGAGGCCCAGGGGGTGGGTATTCTGAACCAATTTGGGTCTTCAACAAGGAAGTCAATGTCCCTGCACAAGGCAGATATCAGATATCATGCTGGGTGGATCCTGAGTCTATCACCCATGTGTAGCATGAAGGTGTCCTTATGTGATATGAAGGGTGGCAGCATAGCCATCTCTGGTGACTCTTCTATTGTCAGCCTACATGGGCTTCTCAAAATGAGTCGCACCTGACTCCACAGGTTTCTAGAGTCGGAGCTGGATTAGGATTTGAGAGATTATTTCGTTCAGCGCCTTTGTTTTGCAGGCAAGAAAAGGGCAAGACAGAGAAGAGAAGAGATTTGCCCACGATCACTGAAGTGCTGTTAGTTATTCCTTCCACGTTTCAACTTTCCCCGTTGTGGGTTTCCAATATATCGTGGGTCACCAAGATGACACAGAAAAGTTTAGAAATGCATAAAATATATGTGTAATACTATATAATATCTACAGATTTTATCTTTTAATACTATAGTAATTCAGACTTCTTCTCTGGTATGAAGGGAGGGCCAAAAAGTTTTATTTGAATTTTCTAGATCTCGGGGTGGGGCGCCTTTGCCCCAAGATGTGGAAGGGATAATTGTAGTTAAATAGAAGGGGCAGGATTTGAACCCAAGTCCTCTGACTCCAAATCCAGCATTCTTTCCATTGCATCACACTATCTCTCTTATAGAAAAGTACTATGTCATAGCTAAAAGGGATCTTGTGACTGATTCAAGGCCAAGGCCAGGATTAAGTGTCCCTAGGGGAGGGGCCTCATGATTGTCTATTTGTTCACTCTTCTCTCTTGTAAGTCCTCTGCCCTATCCTGCCCTGGATTCGCTAGAAACAAGCTAGGCAATGGCCTCTTCCTTTGGCCCAGGTCACCGTGATGCCCCAAGGCTGCCAGGTATGTATGTCTTCAGAGGCAGTGGGCACAGCTTTATTTCTGATCCCAACACTATCAGGTGCCAGACAGCCCTGGAAGGCAGAGCAGGGGGAGGGGAGACTCAGAAAGGAAGAAGCACCTCAAAGATCAGGCTATTGGATTTTGGAAGTAGAGAAGCAGCAGTAAAAAATGGAGGGTCTAGCAGGGATGGGGAACCTGCAGCTTTGAGGAGACACGTGGCCCTCTAGGTCCTCAAGTGTGGCCCTTTGACTGAATCCAAACTTCATAGAACAAATCTCCTTAATTAAAGGATTTGTTCTGTAAAACCTGGCCTCAGTCAAAAGGCCATACCCGAGGACCCAGAAGGCCACAATTCTTGTTCTTCCAAATTACACCTTTAATCAAAGGAATATCTTCCTTCAGGATAGTGCTTACCTCACTTCAAAAGTCCTCCACATAGAAAGAGTGCTGGGACAGAGTCAAGAGAGTTGGATTTGATTCTTCACTCTCACACCCACCAACCTGGTGATTTTCAACAACAAAGTCCTCCCTCAACTTCAGCTTCTCCACCTGTAAAATGGGGGTAATGCATAATTCCAGGGTTGGCCTGGGGAATATCCCTTGTAAGCCTTGAAGCCCTTATAAAGATATGTCATGAAGACTTTTTGTAGGCATGGATATTCCTCCAAGAGAATGTTTCCTTCCACCTTTACCTTTAAGCCCCTCCCCAACCCACCAGAGGTAACAACGTCCCTTCCAATTTGGAGATTCTACAGTTCTATGGATGATTCATAGTATCATGGGTTTAAAGATGGAAGAGATGTCAAAGGTCATCAAGTCCACCCCCTCATTTTACACATCAGGGGACAGGTCCAGAAATTAAGTAACTTGCCTAAGGTCATAGAATGGTGTCAACCTAAGTCTGAGACTCATCATTCTTTTTATTTTTCTTTGTTGTTATATGTTATTGTTGTTATTACTAACCTGTTACAGTGGACAGATCTCTGGATTTGGGCTGAGGAGATCTGAGAGTAAATCCCTACTCACTCTGATACTTATTATCTTTGTGACCTTGAAACATCACTTCACCTTTCTGAGTCAGTCTCCTTATATTAGTTAAGCTTTCTACACCTCTGTATATTCTGTAAAATGGGAACATTGGCCCTTGCAACACCTCCCTTATAGCATTGGTAGGAGGTAAGCATGTAAACCTGAAAGGGATATGGAGAAGCGGGAATCATCCTCATCCCCAGAACAATAATAATCCTAATCCTGACTCCTTCAAAACCATCAATTCATTCTTTTATTCAATAAACATTTATTAAAGGCCTACTATATGCCAGGCACTATCATCAATTTATTCTTTCATTCAATAAACATTTATTAAGCACCTACTACATACCAGGCTATGTGCTAATCAGTGAGGATACAAATAAAGGCAAAAGATACTCCCTGCCCTCAAGGAGTTTACAATCTAATGCCTGGACATAACACAAAAACAAATATATACAAAGCAAGCTATGTTCGGGATAAGTAGGAAATAATTAACAGAAGAAAGGCCCTGGGATCAAGGTACTGCGGGAGGCTTCCTGTAGGATAGGGGGGTACCTCCAGAGAGACTGCCTGGAGCTAAGAGATGGAGTGTTTTGTTCTTGGAATAGCCAGGAGGATACTTCTGTCACCACATACTCAAGATTCATAGACTTAAAGGGACTTATCTAGTCCTACCTCTCATTTTACATATAAGGAAGCTGTTGCCCAAAGTCAGACAACTCTTAAGTGTCAAATGGGACTTGAACTCAAGGTCCTTTGACGTCAAATCCAGCAATCACTTTTTTTCCCCACGGTGCTTGGCTTTTCTTCTCCATCCTTCCTCTTTCACTTTCTAGGACAAAGGCCAACTTTTGGTTTCCTCCTTAAATCTCACCTATCTTTCTCTTCAGGCCTGAGGGAGGTGAGGGAGGTTTCCAAGGTCTAAGTGCTGAAGGCTGTGTCCTGGGAGTGGGAATGCCGAAGATAGAATCAAGATCAAGGACAGGGGCAGGGATGGGGCCATTGGCTCCTTCCATTTAGAGTCAGAATAGACCTTAAAAATCATCTAGTAAAGTTTAACCCTCTTGTTTTACAAACGAGGAAACTGAGGCCCAGAGAAGGGAAAGAATTTGGCAGAGGGAACACAGAACCATCAGTAGTAGAGCGTAGGATTCTAAGCCAACTTCTCAGACTCGAAAGCTTGTGCTCTCTCCACTAAAGCATATCGTTCCCCGCCCCCCACCCCCACCCCACTCTCAACCCCTGAGAGCCCAGAGCTGCCTGATATCTGCATAGCCTGCTCAGGTTAGGGCTGGCTCTACAATGGGGATGCAGGGAAGCTGATCTCCAATCATGACCCATAGCTATGTGACTCATGGGACAGCTAGGTGCCAGGCCTGCACTCGGAAAGACCTAAATTCAAATCTGGCCTTAGATACTTACTAGCTGTGTGACCCTGGGCAAGTCACCTAACTCTATTTGCCTCAGTTTCCTCATCAGTAAAATGAGCCATAGAAGGAAATGGCAAAACACTCCAGAATCTTTGCCAAGAAAACCCTAAATGGGGTCACAAAGAGTCAGACACAACTGAAAACAACCAAACAACACGTGATTCAACCACTCCCCCAATTGCCTTAGCTGTTCCATTTATAAAATGAGAATAATAATCCTTGGGTTTTCTAAGTGTTTTGGGGTAATGAGGGAACCTTGATTGACCTGGGTTTCTCAAAATGAGAGTGACACCTGACCACAGTGCTCCTAGATTTAGAGCTGGATTGGGATTTTTGGAGATCAACCCCTTCACTTTACAGATGAGAAAATGGTAGCCAAGAGAGGGGATGGGATTTGCCCAAGATCACAGAAATAGTAAAGAGAAGTAGGATTTGAAACAAGTTTCTCTGACTCCAAATCCAGCACTCTTTTCACTGTACCCCGGCTAAGAAGGTCCACCTATCTACTTGATAAGATTACTCAGCATGGCTCTTTGTTAGACTGGAATTCCTACCCCTATGAGGGAAGTGCCCCTAGCTGGGAGAATACAGTGAGCTCCTCTAATCATTTCCAGTTACTGGAGCTGTCTCCTGCTAATTGACTGGGGTGGGGAGGACAGATTCTAGTTGGAGGAACAAGACCCTTTGTGACCTTTAAAGAGACTCTCTTTTCTCTTTTGGACTCTTTGCCAATGCTTCCTTCCTCTCTTTCAACAATGGGTAGGAGAGGAGACGTCTTTCCCCAAGTTCCATTTTTACCAGGAAGAGGAGTATCAGCTTGCAGCATAACCACATGGATCTGGAGAGCACTTTCTGTCATTTATTTCCTTTTCTGACACAAGACAAACATTAGAGATCTTTGGCAGCTTCCATGTTCTCATATGAATTGAAATTTCTTAAGTTCAGAATTAGGATATCAACTATTCAGAGGAATGAGATTTCGGTAATAACATACTTCTCAGGGAGAACACCACCACCACCACTACCAAGGCCATCCTATACCCTTTACCCAAAGGACTAAAGAAAGCCATGATCCTGGATCCTGGATCAGTGGGAGATCTGGACCTTTATGTTATTTGCCTTGAGCTGCTTGGCCAATGCAGATCCAGGGTTAATGCAAAATGTCTGTTCAGCAGTTCCATAAAAGGGTCTTTACCTTCTGCAGGAGGTACACTGAGTGTAATGGGCTAACGGAGTATTTTATGTTTTCCACACTTGTTCCTGCATGCCATTGGGTCCTTTGCATCTTGGGCAGAAGAATATCTGTGGAGAAGAACATAAATAGCATTTTGAGTAGCTTTTCTAGAAAGGGCCCCACATTTTGGGAAGACTGAAGACAGGAACCATACCTAAGCTATGCTTTAGAATAGGTGATCTTAACCTTTTGTTTCCCCATCCCTGGAATACTGTACCTCTTCCTCCCCCTCCTCCTGATTTCACTAGTTTCTTTCAAGTCCTAAGTAAAATCCCATCTTCCACAAGAAGTCTTTCCTGATCCTTTTAATGCTAGCGTTCCCCCACACCCATTGATTATCTCCAATTTATTCATATATAGCTTGTTTTATACAGAGCTGTTTGTCTGTTGTTTCCTGCCCCCCCCCCCCCTTTTAGACTCCTTAAAAGTAGGAACTGCCTTTGGCCTTTCTTTGTATCCCCAGTGCTTAGCACCATGCCTGCCAAGACTAGGCACTTAGTGAATGCTTAGTAGGAACACATAAGCATTTTTTGGTAGTCTGGTGAAGCCTGTGAATCCCATATCCCAAATAATGTTTTTAAAAACACAAAAGATTACCAAGAAAACAAAGTATAATGAAATACAATCACCAAAATAATTTGTAATACAGGTTTACAGACCCCTACGGTTAAGAACCCTTGTAAGAGATTCCCCAGGATTGATTTACTCCTGAGCAGGGGCAAAGGCAGAGAAAGAGAACCTGATCTTCCAGTGGGATGGACCAGGATCTGTCTGAGCCCAGAGTCTGGGCTCTGAGCCACAGGCAACATAAGAAAAAAATACTTTGTAAACCTTAAATCCTAAGAGAAATGGGAGCTGCCACTATTATTCTTGCTATGTATAAAGAATTAACATGGTGTATAGTGAATCGAAGACTGGCCCTGGAATCTGCAGGAACTGAGTTCCAGGACTGCCTCTGACCCATACTAGCTTTGTGAGTGACCATATGCAAGTCACTTTTACCCCTCAGGGTCCACAAAAGTCTCAAAGAATAGAAATAGAAGACAGTTGCTAATTTGCATGGGGACAGGGAGTTTCCACACTGACGACCTGCTAGACAAAAGAAAAAAAAGAATTATTATTGGCAAGTATGGAACACTGCTTTATTTCTAATACTGATGTCTGATGTAGGGGAAGAATTTTCCTTTTGTATCCTCCTGGAAGTAAAGAACAGTCCCCCAAGTGAATATTAACCTGTTTCCACAATCTATTTAGCAGATTTTAAAGTTGGGAGAGTATCTCCAGAAATTTAAGTTAAATAGAACAGTTTAAAGACATTTTTGTTCTTTGTTGCTATTGTGACCCTGACCTCTGGCAAGATCCAGATGATAATATCTCATAGACTGGGCACAAGACCATGAGATGAGCCATAGTCTTCTTCCAGGCTTCCTTTTCTTCCTCTTTTAGCCCATCCCTACACCCCCAAATCATTGGAATGATCAAAACTGCTAAATCATAAATGTGGGAATGGAAGACACAGACAACTCCCACTCTCCTCAACATTCATTGCCCTGAAATCCCTGAGATCAGGAAAGCTGAGGAAGCATCATTTTGTTTGCCTGTTGTCTCCCCAATTAGATTGTGAGTTCCTTGAGCTCAGAGACTCTTGCCTCTTTTTGTATCCCCAACACTCAGCATAGCACCCAGTACATAGTGGGTCTTTAATAAATGTTTATCGACTGACTAACATATCACCTGCCCATGTCAATTTAATTCAATTTAACAAGCACTTATTGAAAGCCTACTTTGTGCTAGATACTAGGGCTACCAAGACAAAACAAGCTATCTCTTAAGGACTTTGCTTTCTAATGGAGGATTCTGCTGTTGCTGTTCAGTCAGTCATTTTCAACCCTTCATGACCCCCTTTGAGATTTTCTTGGCAGAACTACCGGAGTATTTTGCCATTTCCTTCTCCAGTTCATTCACAAATGAAGAAACAGAGGCAAATAGGGTTAAGTGACTTGCCCAGGGTCGCACAGATAGTAAGAGTCCGAGGTTGAATTTGAACTCAGGAAGATGAATCTTCCGGATTCCAGGCCCAGTGCTCTATCCACTGCAGCACCTAGCTGCCTTTCTAATGGAAGATGGGGCATAGCTAAGTGACACAGTTGACAGAAACCTGTACTTGGAATCAGAAGATGAGGAGTTTGAAATGTGCCTCAGACACTTAATAGCTGTACAATCCTGAGTAAGCCTTTTAACTGATCTCGGCCTCAGTTTCCTCATTTGTAAAAATGGGGAAAATAATAGCACTTCCTTCAGGTTGTGGTGAGAATCAAATGATATTATATATTTTATGTATGTCTATATCCCTTTGCAAACCTTGAAATGTCATATACTATATAACACTTTTATAAGGAGAAAAAGGGAGGCTACTTTTTGTCAAAGTGAAAACTGGATCCATATGTTGTGTTTCACAAGAACAGGGTCCCTCTGTTGCATAGGCTCTGGGAACCTCACAGTCTGAGAAAGAACATCTCTCCCATGAAGAAGCCTAGATGAACCTATTACCACACTGTGGCAAGTTACCATCCATGGACCAGTCATTTGTGACTCCAAATATCCTTCAGTAAACTTGGTTCTAGTTACCTAAGTTATCTTTCATTTCTCTGGCTTACCACAAAACCACCCATCTAGAAATCACTGCTGTGAACCCCTAAGCTAAGTATAAAAAAAGTGAAAATATTTTCACTTCTTTATCCCTTAAGGAAGTATAAAGAAGGTCTTTAATTGAATTGATGGAATTACAGGTTGGCTAGCCATTAGCTAGCTGAAGAGTAAGCCACACCCCTTGGGCCAATATGAAAAAGCAAGCGAGATAGCTCTGCAGACAGTGGAGAGTCTATCATCTCTAGCACTCCAGAAGAGAGCTAGCTAGCTACTTCCTGTTTTGTCTACTTAAGATCTTAGCTTGAAAAGGTCAAGGTCCCCCACTACATCCTGGGCCACCTCCGATTGTCCTAATCTATATCGGGCCAGTGGACCCAGAGGGCTCCAGAGGTGAAAGTGAGGCTGGTGGCTTTGAACTGCCCTCCCTCGCTTAAATCCAGTTCAATCGCATGTCATGGCATCACCTCTCTGATGGCATGGTCCTCTTCAAGAACGAAGGACAAACAACAACAAACTAGCTACAGGGAGAGAGATTCTTTCTTGAGAGGGGATGCTTCTTCCACTTGAACTTTTCCTTTATCCCTCTTCCAGAGTGCAGCAGGGGAAAGGGCTTCTCTCTCCACCTTCTTGTCCCCCATGGACAATGGCAGCCCATCTAGTAGGAGATGCTGCTCTCAGCACAGAGCAAGCCCAGAAAGTCCTGTTGTGAAGTCAGTCCAGCTGCCAAGAACAATCTAAGGAGTCCAGTGGAATAGCCTGCCCAGTAGGACACCACAAGAAGAGAAAGACATGGTGGCTCTGCATGGTCACAGGTGTGACATGCCTTGGCCGTGTGCCCTCCCTATGCATATGCCTCTCTCCTAGAGGACTGTATGCATGCACCTATTCTTCCCATCAATGCTATGTGTAATTGTGGAAGAGTGTTCCCTAGGCTTATTCAGGTAGTGTTTTGTAACTAGTATTGTTTACCTCAGTTTTCTCATCTGTAAAATGAGCTGGAGAAGGAAATGGCAAACCACTCCAGTATCTTTGCCAAGAAAACCCAAATGGGCTCATGAAGAGTCAGACACAACTGAAATGACTGAACAACAATAACAAAATTCATGCTATACCATTTTTTAATATTTATTTGTCTTTATTGATATATTTTGGTTTTATATTCTCTTCATTTCTGAATATTTCTTTCCCTAGGAATCCATTCCTTGTAGCAAATTTTTTTTTATAATCTTTTTTTTGGGGGGGGGGTTAGGTGATGGGGTTAAGTGACTTACCCAGGGTCTCACAGCTAGTAAGTGTTATGTGTCTGAAGCCGGATTTGAACTCAGGTCCTCCTGACTCCAGGGCCGGTGCTCTATCCACTGCACTACCTAGCTGCCCCTGTAACAAAGATTTTTAAAGGGGGGGCTTGGAAGAGAGAAGCATTTCAGCAAAACAAACCAATATACCAATTGTGTCTGGTAATATATGAAATAGCCCTGTGGTCACCACTTCTGAAAAGATGCGAAGGTGAATTTTCTTTCTTTTTCTTCACATCTTTCTTCCATCCTTGCTTCTCTCCTTCTCACCTCCTTCTTTCCTTTCATCTATCTTTCCTTCTTCCCTTTCTCTTATTTCTATTTTTACCAACGCATATTATCTCTCCCTCTAACTACCCTATTGAACAATTAAAAAGAAAAAAAAACCTCATAACAAATATTCATAGTCCAGTGAAAGAAATTCACAATAGCCATATCCAAAAATGTATTCTTCATTCTGTATCTTAAGGCCATTACTTCTCTACCTGGAAGTGGTTGGCAAGTTGTATCTTCAGTCCTCTGGACTTGTGATTTATCATTGGAAAGATCAGAGTTCTGAAGTCTTTCCAAGTTTTATTTTATAATGTCATTATAGAAATTGTTCCCCTTATTTGGATTAGTTCACTCAGCATCAATTCAAAGATGCCTTCCCAGTTTCCTTTGAATCTGTCCACTTCATCATTTCTTATGGCACAATAATATTCCATTACAATTATGGCATATTCTATAATTTGTTCAATACCATAATTTTAATGTTCAGTACTATAATTTCCTCAATAAGAAGGTACCCTTTAGTTCTAGTTTTTTGGCTACTATGAAAAGACTTGCTATAAATATTTTTGTACATTTTACAAGTCCTTTTCCTCTGATCTCTTTGGGTATAAACCTAGCAGTGGTTCAGCTGAGTCAAAGTATGCATAATTTATTAGCACTTGGGAAATAGTTCCAAATTGCTTTCCAGAATGGCTGAAGCAATTCATAGCTACACCAATAATGCACCAGCCTGCCTGTTTTCCCACAGCCCCTTACAAATGTGTCGTTTTCTTCTTTTGTTATCAAGGACTGAGAAGTCATTTTTCATATAGCTAACAGATGACAGAACTAGGACCTAAATCTAGGTTTCCTCTCCTTCCTCTGAATTCCTACATCGTATTACAGCTATTAGGGTAAATATCTCACTAAACTCCAAACTCTATAGGGACAAATAGTGTCATTAATTCATTATTTTATCCTCAACAGTGTCCAGTATGTAGTAAGTTTCTGGTCTTTTATCTCTATCTGCTGATATACAGGGCTTTAAAGTTTGCAAAACACTTTACAAATACTATCTCATTTTATCCTCACAATTGAGGCTAAATAAATAAATAAATAAATTTGGTGAAAATAAGTAAATAAATTTGAGGAAAATACTATGTTATTCCCATTTACAGATGATGAAACAAGACTCTGAGAAGTTAGAGGACATACTGATAGGTCTGATGTAATGGATGGAACACCTCGGGGCACACCCTAACTCTCATGTCAGTCACCCTCAGACAAGCCACTCAGGCTTTAAGGTACTGTATAGGTCTACAGCCACACCTGCAAAGAACACACAAAGGCAGGTCATATAAATACAGAGGCTGGTCACACTGCTAATGGTTTCTGGTGATGTCATTGTGATGCTTCCTATAGGTCTCATGGAACATTGTTGTCTAAGGCAAGGGTGCAGTCTTGCTGAGTGTGTGCACATGTAATACGACCTTTTTGCCAGGCATTATGAAGTACAACAAGAAGACAAGAAAAAGAAACTGAGGGAAGAATCACAGGCAAAGAAGAAACAAAAGTGTTCATTTTTGTACTCGATATGATGGTTCAATTAGAGAAGCCAAGAGAGTCAACTAAAAATTAATTGAAATTATTAACAATTTCAGTAAAGCTGCAGGATATAAAATAAATCCGTATAAATTTCTGTATGTTACCAACAAAATCCGGCAATAAGAGGTAAAAAGAGAAAACCATTTACAGAAAATTTAAAATACTTGGGAGTCTACCTGCCAAGACACACACAGAAATTATATAAACACAATGATAAAGCATTCTTCATGCAAATAAAGTATTAACTGTTTCACACACTGGCTATCTAGGCACCTTTAAGGTTAAGACCACCGATCTGGTGACCTTTACCTACCCCTGTTCTTTTCTCTTTTAATTTATTTAGTATTCTTCCCCAGCTACATATAAAAACAATTTTTAACATTTGTTTTTAAAACTTTGAGTTCCAAATTCTCTCCCTTCCTCCCTCCCCACCCCCACCCCCACCCCGCATTGAGTAGGCAAGCAATTCGATATTACCTACCCCTGTTCTTTACCTGATCTTATCATTTCATTGCTCTGGGGGACTATATTTCCCAGTACTACAATCCCACCAACCCCCTACCTCCAGATCTCAGAGGAACAATTCTATTAGGGGCTCTACTTTAAGAGGTCCTCAAAAGCAAGGGAGAAAGAAGTTAAAAAAAAAAAAAAGCATTTCAGATTAATCAGATATGGAATAGGCATATTTCCACACAGGAGAAGAAACTGCTAAACAATAAAGAATCATAGAGTGATTACAATCAGTTGAGAGGCTAGTACACAAGACTCTGGGACATTTGTAATCACTAATTAGCCAATCTACATTTCACCTGCATGGAGTACAGCAGAATTATGGGCTCTTTTCTTTCTGGTGTTTTCCTCACTGCCACAACTGTGTGGCCTGGAGAGGGGAAGATGTTAACTGCCTTTTGAGATCTCCTAATGCCCACCCTACCTGATACTGAAGGAAATAAGACACAGACAGGAGGTGGCCCATCCCAGACACAGGCTTGCCTAGAAGGACATGCACGTGCTTACAACTCAAGGCCAGAAGAAAGGAGAGATCTAAGGTTGTCCCTTTAAATCCACAGAATTCTGACTCAGTAGCAAATTAAATCAGTTCTAGTGGTCAACAGAAAAAAACCTTCCATTATGTATCCCCAAGAGGGGCACTACACTTGGAAGAGAAAGAGTGGATTTTCTCATCTCTTTTAGCTTCAAGGTCAGAGGTTTACACTACAGTTCTTTTAGGAAGGTATCCGACTAGGAAAAAAAACTCTCAGTTACTCTCTCTCTAAAGAAAGTCTGTAAGTCCTTCAAAGCCTTGTCTGTGATAGGCTTTTCCTCCCCCAAATGAGAGTCCTCATGATGAGGGACAGGCTGTGTGAAAGCTAAACAGTCACAACTGTGGTAAGGTTAAGTCACACCTATAGGTTTTAAGTATATTTTTTTTATCCTTAATTTCCTGATTATAAGGGCAGTGTTTTTGTCCAAAGCTTTATCTGATTCAAGTTTGGAAAGAAAATCCTGGTAACTCCCTGCTTAATGTCTGACTGCCAAACTGGAATCATTTCATGTCATTTTAGAGACTATCCTTCTCAAACCTCTGAGGGCTATCTGGGTCTGACCCCATTCCCTCCAAGATTCTGTTGACTTGTCCTTGGAAGAAGAAAGTCAGAGTCATCAGAGCCCCTAGGTAAATCTACTTAGTGGCATCTCCACCTTCCTGTTAATACTTTACTCTAAATTTCTGCCCTTATTATATGGGTATGTGACTAGCCTCAAACATTTTCAGGCATTGAACTGGACACTAAACTAGTTTCAGAGGTAGGATTTGAGTCTGGTTCTCCCTTACTCCAAAAAAAGCACTCTATTCCTAATCTCTCTACCAAATTCTAGTCTCACATGGTTATTTCTACATCTCCAGCTAGATATTCTATGGACATCTTGGACACATATTCAAAATAAACTCATTACACTTCCTCCAAAATCCATTCCAAACTTTCCTATTTCTTTGGATGACACTGCCATTTTCCCAATAACGCAGATTTGCACTCTGGGAGTCACCCTTGCCTCTTCATTCTTCCTGCACTCCCTCACCTAACCAGTTTCCAAGTCTTACTAATTCTACTAATACAACATCTCTGGTGTCCAGCAATCAGTCCACAAGCCTCCAACCCTTCACTCACATACCTCTTACCCTAGTTTGGGCTTTTATCACCTCTCATCTGAATTTTTGTAATACTCTAATTGATCCTCTTGCCTCCCACTTCTTCCTTTCTTCACTCTCTCCTCCACATAGCTGCCAAATTGATATTCATAAAATGTGTCACCTCCTACTCACAAAAATCTTCAATGGTTCCCTATTGCCTCTACTCTCAAGTATGAAATCCTCATGATGACATTTAAAGCCCTCACCTTTACTTTTCCAGTCTTCTTTCATGTTACTCCCCTTAGCATTCAATCCATCTGACCTGCTGACTGCTCCCTCAATACAACACTCCTCCAAACTCGGATCTTTGCATAAATATTACTATCCCAACCTATGTGTAGACACATTCCCTCCTTACTTTCACCTCCTAAATCCCTAATTTCCTTCAAAACTTAGCTCTAGCGTCACCTCCTTCAAAATGTTTTTATCTATTTCTATTGAGAGTCAATATTCTAGGCATACAGGTTTGAAACCTATGAGTTGCCCTTAGCTCTTTACTCCCAGTATCCCCCATATCCAATCAATTACCAATTTTTATTGATTCTACCTCCACAACATCTCTCAAAAGTGTTCCCTTCTCGCCACCCACACCACAAGCAGCCAAATTCGAGTCCAGATCACCTCCAGCACAAACTATTAGACTAATCTTCCAGTCAGTTTCCCTGCATCAAATCTCCAATCTGTCCTCCACACCGCTGCTATATGGATATTTCTGAAGCACATGTGTGACCATCTCATTCCCCTGCTCAATAAACCTTCCATGGTTCCCTATCACCTCTAGGATCAAGTACAAACTCCTCTGTTTGGCATTTGCCAGCCAACTAGAATTTATTAAGTGCCAACTACATGCCAGGCACTGTGCTAAACCTTTCACAATCTTGTTCCAGTCTCTTTTCCAGTCTGGTTGCATGTTACTTCCTCTTGCATATTCTGCACTCCAGCCAAACTGACCTGTTTTCTAGATGCA